TGAGGATCCCAGGGTCCAGATGGGAGCTAAGCTTACATCCCTACTTAGAGGGAAGTAATGTGATGCAGTGCCCCACTTTCAAGGAGAATGAATGAGCAGGGGTAAAAGGGAGCTGAACTCCCACACTAACAGATCTACATTGAGGTAATGGTCTACTTTGCTGAGGTAGTATGGGCAGGGTCCAGTGGGAAGGCATAAAAACATCCATTCCTTACACTACATCTCAACAAAGGGGCTGCCTGATAAAAAACAATAATTTAAGATGTACCTAAGACACAAACTCTCCCAATAAGATAGATAAAATGTCTACGATACAATAAAAAAATTACTTATCATATCAAAAACCAGGACTGTCATAACTTGAAAGAGAAAAGATGATCAACAAATGCTAAAAGTGGGAAGTATCAATGTTAAAATTACCTAAAACAAATTTTAAAGCAACCATCAAAAAATTAAATAAATAAAAAGCTCAAAGAATTTTGAATTCGCTTGAAACAAATAAAAAACAGAAAATCAGCAAAGAAATAGAACTTATAAAGAACAAACAATGGAAAATATGAACTGAAAAATAAAATAACTGAAATAACAAGGTCACGGGACATGTATGATGTAATAGTGAAGTTAACAGAGGATAGAATCAGTGACCTTGAAGACAAATCAATAGAACTGACAAAAACAAAGAGAAAATAGGCAGAAACAAATGAAAAAAAGTCTCAAGAACCTAGAAGACAATAATAGAGATAACCTTTGTATAAGATTTCCAAAAGAGAGGAAAGACAGAAGGAGACCCAAAAAGTATTCAGAAAAACAAAAGTTGAGGGGCTAGCAGGTGGCATGGTGGTTAAGGTGCTGGATTCTCACATTGCTGACCATAGTTCAAGTCCTAGAACTAGCAGCTTGAAAACCACGCTGGGCATGTGTGCCCAAAATCCCATAGTCATCCACCCCAGGGGGTGATTTCTCACTCTCTGTATTTCTCACTGTTTCTGTTTCTCTCCAGTGAGTGCACATGCCCTGTGGCAAAAACAAACAAAGAATCTCTAATTCTCCAAATTTGGCAAAGGTATAAACCTACAGACTCAAGAATCTAAACAAACCACAGAAAGAATAACTCAAAGAAATCTATGCTAAGATACATATAACTAGGTTTCTGAAAACTAAGACAAAGAAAGCAACCAGAGAAACAAATGCATTACTTAAAAGGGAACACCAATTTGAATCACAGCAGGTTTCTCATCTGAAAAAGTAGAAGCTGGAAGGAAGAATGCTGGACTTCTACATGGCTGACCACAGTTCCAGGCTTGGACCTGGTGGCTTACTTTCTCACTTTCCCTCTCTCTGTTTCTCTCTCCAATGAGCACATATGCCCTGTAGCAAATAAAAACTAATAATAATGATAAATAAAATTAAATAAATATCTATTTTTTAAAAATGTGTCAACAATGACCTCTATATCTAGTGAAGACATTCTTTGGAAATGATTGGGAAATAAAGATATTCTTTATTAAGATAATTATTGCAGCAAACCTACCCCTGAAGATTAGCTAAAGAGAAAGGAAATGAAGGGACCAGCAATTAGCGTAATGGCTATGTTGCTGGATTCCCATGTAGCCGAACATGGTTCGAGTCCCAGACCCAATGGCTTAAATCTCACGCCGGGCGTGTGTACGTGTGTGCCCAAGATCCCGAGAGGAGAATGGAGGAGAAGGGATTGCGGCGTGGCCATCCCCCTGGTGGTGATTTCTTACTTTCTGTCTCTCTGGCAAACGCATATGCTTTATAGCAAAAATCCCCACCAAAAACAAAAAAGAATAAATAATAAATAATATAATAAAAGAAAAAAATATTCATTGACTATAAGCCAGGAATTATTCTAGGTTCTTGGGATACATCAATAAATAAAAGTCTCTACCTTCATAGATTTAAGTGAATTACATGCTATTTGGGACCAGCAGTTGGCATAATGGCTATGTCATTAAGATTCCCATGTAGTCAACTGTGGTTCGAGTCCCGGTCCTGGTGGCTTAAACTCAAGCTGGGCACGTGTGTGAGTGTGCCCATCCCTCCTGGGGGTGATTTCTCACTTTCTGTCTTTCTGTTTCTGTCTTTCTGGTGAGCACATGTGCCCTATAGCAAAAATCTCTCCAAAAAAAAAAGCTGACAACAACAAAGAAAAAAAAATAGGCAGAAACAAATGAAAAAAGTCTCAAGAACCTAGACTACAATAATAAAAAAGATAACATTTGTATAAGAGTTTCCAAAAGAGAGGAAAGACAGAAGGAGACCCAAAAAGTATTCAGAAAAACAAAAGTTGAGGGGCTAGCAGGTGGCATGGTGGTTAAGGTGCTGGATTCTCACATTGCTGACCATAGTTCAAGTCCTAGACCTAGCAGCTTGAAAACCACGCTGGGCATGTGTGCCCAAAATCCCATAGTCATCCACCCCAGGGGGTGATTTCTCACTCTCTGTATTTCTCACTGTTTCTGTTTCTCTCTAGTGAGTGCACATGCCCTGTGGCAAAAACAAACAAAGAATCTCTAATTCTCCAAATTTGGCAAAGGTATAAACCTACAGACTCAAGAATCTAAACAAACCACAGAAAGAATAACTCAAAGAAATCTATGCTAAGATACATATAACTAGGTTTCTGAAAACTAAGACAAAGAAAGCAACCAGAGAAAAAAATGCATTACTTAAAAGGGAACACCAATTTGAATCACAGCAGGTTTCTCATCTGAAAACGTAGAAGCTGGAAGGAAGAATGCTGGACTTCTACATGGCTGACCACAGTTCCAGGCTTGGACCTGGTGGCTTACTTTCTCACTTTCCCTCTCTCT